TATGCAAATTCCATTGATTGTAAATAAANTTTTTTATTATTTAAAGTTTAAGATAGGCGATGCCTTCATAACGAAAAGATAAGTGTAAATCTAATTTTTGATAATTGCAAGAGTGAGAAATCTTTTCATTTCAGGTTTTAAGGAGCCCAAAAGGGAAGTATGTGTCCATAATTAGCGCATTGCTGATTGATTACTTACGATTTTGCTTTCACTTAGTGCGTTGCTCGTATGCATCATTCCAATGCGTAATAATAGTTTTAGAGAAAGATTCCGAATCCATTATCACCATTTTTGTTGTGGAAATGGGGCGATTTCAGTTTTTCCCGTAATGTGGATGCTGCCTAGACATTATGGAGTTTCTGGACAAACAAAAAACTCACGGAGAAGGGTGAGACCTTGACGATGGTTCCGTGGCTTCAAATTGAATTATTTCTGTCACTAACTTCACCCGTCAGAAAAAATTAAAATTATTTCTAAAATGTACTGTATTTTTTTTCACATTTATTCAACAGTTGCCACTGAATAAAACAACTAAACGCTGATATTTTTTCGTGGGTCAACGGGCTGGCCACGTGCGTTTTCCAGGTTTTCTTAACTTTAGTAAAACCTAAATAGGGGACCATTTTCCAGAATTTGTTTGTAGTGCACATTAACTATATGTGTAACGCCACGACCACTTTATTTACGAAGAAGTTATAATTAGGATTATTTAGTTATTATTTTTCTCTGTAATTTATATTCATTTTGTTTTTGTCACAAGAACAAACCTTATGAACAGACCGCAAACGTTTTGGTTATCATAAATTTAATGATCAATCGGTTGGTTTGAGTAAAAATTACATTTCTTAAACTAATTTGAAAATAAAGAAATTAAAATCTTCAGAAATGTAATAAAAACGAACAGATTATTTATTCATCGATTACATTATCAAAAATTCACATCTTCATTCACATAAAGGTTTAATAACTAAAGGTTAAAATATACATACTTTCCATTTGTTAAGCTTGATAAATATTTGATCTCTGAAGAGAACTGAAAAAAGAAATAATAATTCAGTAAAATTAATTTTACATTTTACTCAATATATAGTAAAGATGATAAATAAAGTGATTAGAATGATTTAAAATTACATTATACTAATCTTCACCTTCTGAGAAACCACTGTGTCAAAAATATGATCAATAAACGCTGTTATTTTAGTTATATTTTTGACATTGAGGTTCTGGATGGTGGAATGATGTCATCCTCACCATACACGCATATCGTTTCAATGTATTTACGCACACAGAAAACATGATTAAACTCTACATTTTGTTATACTTGTGACAATGTCGAAGGGCCTCCCTATACTTCGGCACCACGGGACCGAAGGGTCGACATCGCGTCGTCGAAGATCGCAATGACAGTTTTGTCAGCACTGACACTACTGCTAGACACAGAAACCGTTTCGTTCGGGCATGTGAGCGAACAGAGCGATCAGAGTTGGGATGGAAGGAGAGACAGCGCACCGAAAGTGATTTACTCAGACGCTTGTTAGCGTAACAACTGTTTAATGGTTAACGATACATTAGGGCTGCTGTTAGATACATTTCTACGATTTGTCATTATTCGATATTACGATATTACGGTTTTTCCCGATTTGAGAGAGAGAGTTACAGAAGTTTCGCGTGGCGATAAATACCTTGAGCTTTAGTGAGTTGCTAGTAAGTCTTGACACGAAGTTAGTCCAGTTAGACAGTTGGGTCGATGTTAATCCAGAGAATATGCACTTAAATAAGTCCGATAGTCCAGTGAAAATCACAACGCACACGGAAAAAGATACGGAACTGGAGACTGATCTCTTCGAGGACGGGGCGACGACTGACTCACTTTGTTGTCTGTTTTTCGTGTTGGATTGTTGAAACGGAGATATTAGGTTAACAGGTGCTGAGAAAGCGTCGTTATTAAGCCTGAGAACTTACCAGATGTTTAGCCCCCAGGTGTAAAAGTTGACAGTTATTTAAGTGAAAATTTGCAACATTTTTTAAAATTCACATACTCCAGTTAAGTAGTTTGTTCTTGGCACCAAGCCAGAACGACTTGAAATGTTGTTCTGTACAATTCTATATAACAGGGCTGGCCAACCTGCGGCTCGCGAGCCACATGCGGCTCTTTGAAGGATTATTTGTGGCTCTCGATAGATGTACCCGAGTTCCCTTTTCATTTTTGTGTTATTATATTTTAAAAAATTATTATCGTTCCGTATGTGTTTCAAAATGTCTTTTAAATTACTAACAACAAATATGAAAGACTAAGTGCAACGTTGTAACAAATTTCATTTCCGTCCAAGTTAAGAATGATATGACTCATCGAAAACTGCGCGAACGAACATAAACAGTGGCGTAATCGTCCGTTATCGACCGACTCCAGACC